GAGGGCCTCTGGACCTAGATAGGTAAGACATTTAGGACATCCTGCTTTGTAAGCAAGCTGAAGATAGAGGAAAATTATCACTGCCATGTAGATCTTGGTCATCAAGTTGGGGAGCCCCGGCTCCCTCTCTGAATGGCCTCCGTTCTGTAGACTGTAGGAATTTCCCTCTGCTCTTTATATGGATTTTTCCTTTGGGAGAGGTGGGTTTCTCAGGATGGCTCAAACTAGGTAGGGAAGGAAAGAGAAGCCATAAAAGCTGGAGGGAGCTGTATGTGCAAATGGTGGGATTCAACAAGGAAGAAAGCACTCTCTGAGGATTAGCAAGATGGTTCCGTGGGTAAGGACACTTGTCACCAAGCCCCATCCGCCCTGGGGTATGCCTGCTGTCTCCTACCACACAAAGTAAAATAAATAAAATGTAGAGGAAAGCACTGTTTGCTCTTTCACAGTAAGTGAGGTTTGCAAGGCAGATCTCTGGGAGTGATGGTTCGTCCACCCTTGTCCCCTGGAGTGGCAAAGTGTTAGGAGCACTGTGTCCGGGCAGAATGTTGCACAATATTGTAAATAGGATCATGTTCACTAACGAAGTCCACAGTCCATATGTGCCTAGCCATCTGCTCTCCAGAGAAAACTGCAGAAAGCAGGCAAAATAATCCCTTCTGCTTGTCCCGTCTGCCTGTTTATTTCACTCACTCTTTCAATTTCCTCTTTCAGAATCAGAGATGACAGATCCTACTGTGAACCCCCGCTCATTTTTTCTCAGGAATCCCAGCGAAAATACATTTGAACTGTTCCCCCTAGGGGACGAGGAGGAGAAAAATGAAAGTGTGTTGCCCGAGGGCAGGGCAGTCTACTTAAACAAAAGCCACTCTCCTCCCATTTCACCTGCTCCCTTCATCTCGGAGGACGCCTCGGGATACCTGACCAGTGCCTGGCTGACGCTCTTCATCCCCTCCATGTACACCTTTGTGTTCGTGGTCAGCCTTCCGCTGAACATCCTGGCCATCGCAGTGTTTGTCTTGAAGATGAAGGTCAAGAAGCCCGCCGTGGTGTACATGCTGCACCTGGCCATGGCTGATGTGCTGTTTGTGTCCGTGCTCCCCCTCAAGATCAGCTACTACTTCTCCGGCACTGACTGGCAGTTCGGGTCTGGGATGTGTCGCTTCGCCACCGCGGCGTTCTATTGCAACATGTATGCCTCCATCATGCTCATGACTGTCATAAGCATTGACCGCTTCCTGGCGGTGGTGTACCCCATCCAGTCCCTGTCCTGGCGCACCCTGGGCCGAGCTAACTTCACTTGCCTGGTCATTTGGGTGATGGCCATCTTGGGGGTGGTGCCCCTTCTCCTCAAGGAGCAGACCACCCAGGTTCCGGGGCTCAACATCACCACCTGCCATGATGTCCTCAATGAGACTCTGCTGCAGGGCTTTTACTCCTACTACTTCTCAGCCTTCTCTGCTGTCTTCTTCCTTGTGCCGTTGATCATTTCCACGGTCTGCTACATGTCTATCATCCGGTGTCTTAGCTCCTCCACAGTTGCCAATCGGAGCAAGAAGTCCCGGGCTTTGTTCCTGTCTGCTGCGGTGTTCTGCATCTTCATCGTCTGCTTCGGGCCCACCAACATCCTCCTGATTGTGCACTATCTGCTCCGCCCCGACAGTCCCGCCACAGAGGCGGCCTACTTTGCTTACCTGCTCTGCGTCTGTGTGAGCAGCGTGAGCTGTTGCATCGACCCCCTGATTTACTACTACGCCTCCTCTGAGTGCCAGAGGCACCTCTACTGCATCTTGTGCTGCAAAGAAAGCTCTGAAACCAACAGTTACAACAGCACCGGCCAGCTGATGCCGAGCAAAATGGATACGTGCTCTAGTCACCTGAATAACAGCATATACAAAAAGCTGTTAGCTTAGGGAAAGGGATGCTGGAAGATTACACAAAAAAAGGCTGGAGAAGTGACCAGCCAGGGGATCCCGTTAGTCTCTGCATCTACCAATGTCTGATTTGCATGCATACTTCTTACAAATGCTATCAAGCGTATATATCGGTTAATCACCAGCAAGGTAATGGGAACAGAGGTAAAGGTTTCCAATGTTGCCAGTGTCATGAAGCTAACTGAATGTCACTTCTTGTATGTCTATGTGACTCCAACACATGGGTGGTATGCACACACACATTAGCAGTGCAGGATGGAATCAGGGCCTTGACACTTCCTTGTTTATTCTCTGGCTGTTACTATGGAGAGAATCTGATTCTCTGACTTAGTAAAGCATGGGTTGGTGGATGTTAGCACTGCGCAGCTGAAGATGTCTAACGATAGGGAAGGAGTCCATAGTTTAGACCTAACACAGCTTCCGCCAGTACATATATTTTCAGATTATTTGACAATAATGTTTAAGTGATAAAAGGATGGAACAGTATTATCTGTGTAGGGGACAGTCTAGTACTTCTCATCTTGAACATACCGCAGTTTAAGACTCATCAAAGCAGTTGGAAAGCCCGTTTTGATATGGGTAGCATTTTTGCAGTTCACGTCTGGAATACATGCACCAAGGTGAGCATAGACCCACCAGGGTCATAAGAAACCCTTCAAAGCCACCAAGCCTGAGCACTGGGCACAGCCGTCTCCTTGGAGAGCTCTGAACAGCAGGCACATACCCCTTTAGCTCTGCCTCCTAGCGAGCGGAGGTGGGGGCCACCAGGCCACCCATCCTGTTAGGAGTCCCGTTAGCTGTGAACTGACTGTATCTGTTAGAAAAAAGTAGTAACTACGAAAGGTGTCTGAACATCCGCATCCGAGGAGCCGAGAACGGTGTGTTCACGTCTAGTAGCTGTCCCCGCAAGGCTGGCGCTTGCGTGGACACACCCACATGCCCTGGCAGTCTGTTGGGTACTGGGCCTGCAGACTGACTGACTGACTAGGAGAATAACTGAGTCCTGCCCTGACTAAAGCAAAGCAGATAGCTGACATGTGGTCAGGTGTGATGTCTGCGCCTCAAATCTACCATTGTACATAGACGGTTCTCAGCAACAACACCAAGCGTCTTTCACAAAAGCAAAACCTATCAGCTAAACAGCTTTGGATATCTGAGTTTTTACTTCCAGTAGCTATAGATTAAGATAAAAACACAACACAAGGTGTATATTTTTTAAATAAATAAGCCCCTCGATCTATAATTAGACACTATTTATTTACAAATATTTTATGAAAAATTACTCAAATCAGCCAGGCATTGTGGCACACACCTTTAATCCCAATACTTGGGAGGTAGAGGCAGGCAGATCTCTGTGAGTTCCAGGCCAGCCTGATCTAGAGAGTGAGTTCTAGGCCATTTAAAGCTGCATAGTATGACCGTGGCTCAAAACAAACAACAAAATAAACAAATTTATTAAAAAGCAAGCAAACACAAAAAGTGTTACTTAGGTCCAGTTTTAAGAAATATATAGCTCAGTCTGGTTAAAAAAATAATGGGAGGAAATAAAATTGAGATTAAAATGCAGAAAAATTATCCTACATTTTCTTAAGAGTTGTTGAAATTATTTTAAATGGCACACACAGTGACTAACAAGCATATAAAATCTTCATAGATTTGACAAAGTAATTTGAAAATCAATTTAAGATATATCCTTTGCCTGATTAAAATATGTTGCCATTTTAATAAAATAAAAGAGTAGAAAGGGTAAATGTTTATTTAAGAGAAAAAGTATTTCCAAAAACTGTAGGGAAGAGTCCATGAAAGTCCTGTAGGTGTACTTTTAACTCAGTTACTGTATTGATTTACCTAAGTCATTGACTGGCTGTTGTGTGTTCTGTGACTTACTATAACTATTATTATTGTACTTGTGGACTTTTATGGCACTGTTTTGTGTTCACTCTTTTTTAAAATATTATATAACATATTAATAAACGTGAAAACATGCTTGGTGTCTGTCTGGAATCGCTTATTGCTGTGGGCCCTGGTGGAATGCACACCAGATAGTCTTCAGTGAATAGACGCAGGGGGTGGAGTCTCCCCAGAAGCTGTAGATTAGGGAGAACTCTTCCTGTCCAGAGACAGAGCGCACGGAGTAATGACGGGACAGCCTGTGCCTGTGCAAGTGCATGCATACATTCGTGCATGGGGGGAGGACATAGGTGTGTGTGTGTGTGCGTGTGTGTGTGCGTGTGTGTGTGCGCGTGTGTGTGCTGTCAAATCTACAAAGTAAGGGGTTTCATGATGACATCTCCATACCTGTATTTAGGGCACCACCCCATTCCCTCCACTGTCTCACTGCTGCACAGCCACTTCCCTCTCTGTCATGTCCTTTCCCCCATATTTCACAAACGAGAAAAGACTGCTCCTGAGCTTCACAAATGCCCAGAGCAGCAGGGTGACATCGCACGGATCAGCTTCCCCGGGCATGGCGAAGGGACCTCGGGCGTTGAGCGGGAGGTGCACAGCATGGGTTTTGCAAGGTTTTGGCAAAGGCGTTCATTGGGTGGTTATCTCTCCTTTTTTTGGAAAACTGATGGCTATAACATTGAAAACATGTTCAGTTTCCTGACTTACAAGCATTGTGAATTTCGTCTGCAGTTCTGTTTTAGTCAGACAGACAGTCCGAGGCGGGCACGGAGCATTCAGGGCGAGGCAGGGGGATTGTGCACTCCCAGCCAGCCTGGTTGAGGGTGGCCGACTGGGGTGGAAATGGACACGCACTGCTTCCTCTGCGCATGCGTGACCAGCCCGTGCCGAATAGTACTCCCAGGGGTCGGAGGTGACATCAAAATGGTGCTCAACCCTTGAGCATTGAAAAATCAATAAAACGTTTTCAGTAAAGTGTTTCTGGATTGATAGTCGATTTTTTTCTAAAACTCACATCATCTAAATAAGCACCTGTTAGCACAAAGAATTGTCAACATGAATTTTCTAAGGCCGTGCACCCTGAAAGTGAGCCAAGAATTCCACTCAGCCATGACACCCCAGCATTAGGACCCTGCCTCAAGCCAGAAAGTGGCCTAAAACTCTCCTATTATAACTTCAAAATACATTTGAGTTCAAGTGACACACTTGAATGTTATCGACATAAAATATTTTCGTTTTTCCGCCACCAAGTCAAAAATAAATCATTTTGAGGAAACGGGACATTCATTTGGCTGTTGACTATGCAGTTGGAAAATTTTCGGCTGTGTTTCACTCGACAAAATTAGGGAAGCAGCATGTCCTTGAGGAAGTCCTGAGTTCCAGAAGCCACAGGAAAGCACTAGACAGGCTTTGTGAGCCAGCCTTTTCCCTTCTGGGGCTCGGCCTTCCGCACACAGCCTATCTCCGAAAAGGGCTGTATGAAAATGGAGAAGCACGCTTCACACATGTGTAAAGCCCCCAAACAACAGAATAAACACGGGGGAAGGACCGTCTCCACAGCGGCCATCATATCCTTAGGTTTACTTTCAAATTACTAGACCAACAGTACATGAGAGAAACTGGCCTCAGAAGACAGCTCCGGCCTTCTACAGAGAGGCAGGTGAGTGAAGTCTGAGAACAGAGGAGGAACGGCGCAGTGCAGGGCATTTTCAGAGACACCTGTGGGCTCAAAACTACCTGGAAATGCTAGGTTGCGGCTTTGACCTTTCCTGAGAGTGCAGCTCACTGAGCTCTGAGGCAGACAGCAAGTGTCATCCACTGAGCCAACCATTAGATTGTAAAGTGACCTAAACATGGAGGGGGGGAGCTCGAGAGACGTCCCCGAGGTTAGGCACTTCCATAGCTCAGATCCCAGCACCCACATGGTGGCTCTTAACCACCTGTAATTCCCATTCCAGGGGTCCTCTTCTGATGTCTGAGGGCATCGGGCAGGCACATAGTCCACGCACTTACATGCAGCCAAAACACGCATTGTAGTGCTCTGATCCAAAGAAATTCAAGCGAATTGCTCTTTGTTTCATTGGCTTTGGTTTTTCGAGACAGGGTTTCTCTGTGTAGCCTTAGTGTCCTGGACTCGCTTTGTAGATCAGGCTGGCCTCGAACTCACAGAGATCTGCCTGCTTCTGGTTCCCCGGGTGCTGGGATTACAGGCATGCACCACCACGCCCAGCTACCAGAATTGTTCTTAAAAATAAGTTCTCAACTTTCCTGACATCAAGTAGATAGGAATGCAGGCCATGGTGACTCCCAAATGTAATTACAGTGCTAGGGAGGCTGAGGCAGGAGGGTCACCAAGAGTTTCAGACTTTGTGAGAAGTTCTAGGCTGTCCTGGGCTACAGTGTAAGATCCTGTCTCCAAAAACAAAAAAGAAGGGGGGAGGAGGGAGGAGGAGTAGAAGTAGAAGGAAGGGGGGTAAGAGAAGTAGAAGGAAGAAGAGGAGAAAAGGAAGGAAGGAAAGGAAAGAAGGAAGGAAGAAAGGAAGGGGAAGGGAGAGAAGAGATGAGAATAAGGATGGCAGGGAAGGTAAGATGAAAGGGAAAGAAGAAAGATGGTAAAGAAGAGAATGCAGGCAAGAAAAGTGGGGAGAAAAGGAAAGAAGGAAACAGAAGCAAGATAACTATATAAAGTGGACAGGAATAAACCGTTATCTCACTCCTACTGGCTAGCATGCCGGCTTTCTGGCTACCCCAGAGCCGGAGGATCCATCTTGAAGCAACAAAAACTGTAGACTAAGTAAAGCCAAGTCTCTGCTGTGGCCCACAGGTCAGGAGACATACAGTGTTGCCCACAGATGGAGGCTCTGTATAATGTCTGCTTTTTAGCCAGATGCTGCCTAAAAGAAAGAGATGAACTTTTACTGAGTGTGATCTCTAGCTGTCAGGGCAAAAGGCAATAAAACAGCAGCAGTCTCCCATAGAAGCAGCCCTAGACATCGGAAAGCAGGCCAGCTGTGGACATCTGTAACTCCAGCACTTGGATAGCTGAGGCAGAATGGCAGGTTCGAGGCCAGCCTGGGTTATATAGCAAGACTTGGTTTCAAAAACAGCTAAGAAAACCAAGGAGTAAAAAGCCAGCATTTGAGTCTTGTACTCCAGACTGACTGGGCACTGTATTGGAGTTGGCAAAACAGGCCAGCCCCTAGGGTACCTGACAAGCGGACATCTCTGGCATCAGGCATCTCTATAGCCACCTCCAGAAACTCAGCGGCAACAGGACCCCTCACCACCATCAGGACACCGTCCTGGGCATGCTCTGGTCCTCTTCTCACTCTCTGTTTACCAACTCACCCAGAGACCGTCTCTGTAACCCTCCCTGTCCCCTAATAAAACCTCCCACATGGAACCTGCCGTGTGATGTGATTTATGAACCTGCTGTATAACTCCGCCGCATAGATCCTAACGCACTGCATGCTGCTTTTCTAAAAACACATGGAAGAGCAAAGACCAGATCTGCTTGGATTTCAGATCAGACAGCACTTGTGGAGTGCTTTCCACCAGGTGGCTACCTGTTTGATCCTCAGAACCAGTAGGGAGAATAGCCTCCAAAGCTGCATGGACAGTAGCCTGAAGCCTGGGTTTGGAGGCAGGCCAGGGGAACTCACTCAGGTTCTGAGAGCAGCTCAGTGATGAAACAGTTGCTTAGCTAGCCTTTGGTTCCTTTTTTATCCTGAGACACCTAGTAAGTGGCTGAGATAATGATCCCTCCCTAGAAAAGAATGGGACAAATATACCCCTTCCACTAGAGTTTAGATGTTTTTGTAGTGCTGAGAAATTCATTAAACCTAGAAGCTTGCCCAGTGTGGTGGCACATGCCTTTAGTCTCAGCACTGGGGAAGTGGAGGCAGGCAGATCTCCGAGAGTTCAAAACCAGTTTAGTCCACAAAGAGAGTTCCAGGACAGCCAGGGCTGCTACAGAGAGAAACCCTGTCTCAAAACAAAAAACAAAACAACAACATAAAAAACCCAACAAAATGAAAAGCCCTAGAGGCTCACACACTGTAGGCAAATCTCTTCTCCAGACAGATTTGCTTATTTGTTAAGCACAATAGATAACACTTGGGAAATATGGGGTTGAGGGCCTCAGACTTAGAAAAGGTTTTAGCAGTTCTGCCTTATTAAGGGAGTTTTGGAAACTTTGCTCAGTTCTGAACCACTAGAGAATTTGTAAAGAAATCAAGCATCCCCACCCCACACCATGAGTCACAGTCTTTGGGAATGGGGCGGCAGCATCAGTCAGGACTGTTAGAATCTCTCCTGAGATTCTAACGGGTTAGCCAGAGCCAGAGCACTACTTTAAACATGTTTGGGAGCTGGCAGAGCATTTGCCTAGCCTGTGACGGCTCATTTCCCAGCACTACAAAAAGTATAAGAAAGTTTGGCTCAGCATTACCATCTGGGGATCTTATGAAGCTGCAGGCTGTAAGCTGTAGGCCTGGGATTGAAGCAGGAGCCTCATGGCATTCCAAGAAGTGCCAAAGTGGCTGGTCTTTGAATCATGCATTGTGCAGCAAGACCCTGGCAGCCATCCCTTGCAGAAAAGGCTCCTTTGGAGATCTAGCCACCCATTACATAGAATTCTTCCGTCCTTAAGATAATTTTCAGGGAAATTATCTTATTAAAATGAAAACAAGACAGTTTGGTTGTTATAGTCACTACTGTTGTTTTCAGACAAGGTCTCACTGTATATTCAGACTGGATTCATACTCTATCTATCTATCTATCTATCTATCTATCTATCTATCTATCTATCTATCTATCCATCCATCCATCCATCCATCCATCCATCCATCCATCCATCCATCTATCTATCTATCTATCTATCTATCTATCTATCTATCTATCAGTTTTTCAAGACAGGGTTTCTCTGTGTAGCCCTGGCTGTCCTGGAACTCACTTTGTAGACCAGGCGTTTCTCAGACTACAGAGATCCGCCTGCCTCTGTCTCCTGAGTGCTGGGATCAAAGGCGTGCACCACCACTGCCTGGCTAGAATTCATACTTTTGATCCCGTGTCAGCCC